TCCTTTTAACTACTAACGAAGTTCTCCTTGTATTTTTCCTTCTCCTTTTAACTACTAACGAAGTTCTCCTTGTATTTTTCCTTCTCCTTTTAACTACTAACGAAGTTCTCCTTGTATTTTTCAGGTAGTTGCATCCCTACCAACCGAGGTTTTGTTATTATTGGCACTACACTGGCTCAGACCGTTCAAGATAAAATCAAAAAGTAAACCTGTAACAGTTTGCCGCTATAATGTTATATGGTTGATGGTTCAGTTAAGGTGAATGACATCCGCATGTTGTGAAAAGTAAAATTAAACTACAACAGTAATACGTCCTGTTATTCAGATAGTTTTAGAAGTGCGTGGAGATTCTACAGTACTAGTAATCTTGTTTGTTATTCATTTTCCCTGATAGTTTGATAGATGTATTGTTACTTATCGGGGTATTATTCGTTCATCTATTCAAAAGTACAAAGTGCAGGGTCGCATGATTTCAGGCCGGCCAGGCATAAAAATCGTGAAATTCAATTCTTAGGCCAGTACTATATAGGACGTCCCAGATGAGGCCTGTAGTGAAATGGTTCAATTTATAGAACTTGGGCCTTTAACAATCTATCAAGCGTATAAAAACACCATGTCAGCCCCAGATACACATGTAAAAACGCACAAGTTGTTACAGGTCTGCAAACAAGTTGTCACAAATCTGTTCACAAGCTGTCGACAAGTTGTGTTCGTATTGCTTGTTCCCAGTTGTTCTAATAAATTTGGAACAAGCAGTGTTAACATTAACTTGCAACAAGCTTGATGGCATTATCAGACTTGTTACATGGTTGTTCTAACAAGTCTCATACAGTCATGATATAACAAGAATGTTAGAAAGTTGACGACAAAAGGTTGTAACAATGTTGTCATATGACTGTATTGGACTTGTTGGAACAACCTTGCAACAAGCCTGATAATGCAATCAAGCTTGTTACAAGTTGTTAACAGTTTATCCCAAACTTGTTGACAACGTGGGACAAGCATTGCGAATACAACTTGCTGATGGCTTGTTGGTAAACGTGCTACAAGGTGTGAGATATTCGTGTGTGCGTAGGAGGCTGTATAGAGGAGCTGCAGTTAAATTTTGGGCAAATGTCAGTCCTCATAGTGTAAAAAAAGCAATAAGGACTGTAAATGATTTGATTACCTGGACACGAGCTTCTGTGAGATCAATTTTCATGGCCAATGCTTCACGAGTAAACACATCTGGATAATGGGTCTTAGAAAAGGCTCGTTCTAGTTCTTCTAATTGATAGCTTGTAAACGTTGTGCGATATCGTCTTTGTTTTCTCTGACTTATACCGCTACTGTCTTGATCGTCATCATAATCTCGTTTCAACTGATTTTCGTTAATAACATTTACACTTGACTCGGGGCAGCCTGTAAAGAAAATAATAAACTGCCTGTAAGGAGAAGGTTGACTTTCCATGAAACATCTACAATACTTTCCCATGAAATAGCTACAATACTTTCCCATGAAACATCTACAATACTTCTCCATGAAACATCTACAATACCTTCCCATGAAACATCTACAATATTTTTCCATAAAACATCTACAATACTTTCCCATGAAACATCTATAACCTACAATACTTTCCCATGAAACATCTACAATACTTTCCCATGAAACATCTACAATACTTCCCCATGAAACATCTACAATACTTTCTCATGAAACATCTACAATACTACTTTCCCATGAAAGATATGCAATACTTTCCCATGAAACATCTACAATACTTTCCCATGAAACATCTACAATACTTTCCCATGAAACATCTACAATACGTTCCCATGAAACATCTACAATACTTTCCCATAAAACATCTACAATACTTTCCCATGAAACATCTACAATACTTTCCCATAAAACATCTACAACACTTTCCCATAAAACATCTACAATACTTCCCCATAAAACATCTACAATACTTCCCCATGAAACATCTACAATACGGGTACCTCTCGGTTAGGGAAATTAAGACTCCGCCTGACATAATACTCATATAATTTTCCCGCTTTAAAATCTCTAATATGGACACCTCCTTTGTGTGAGCTGCATCCCTTTAATGTCCATGTAAGAGAGGTTGTGGACTGGACTTGATGTAATGAAAACTGGGCAGACTGTCTGATCTGATCATTTCTAAGCTCCAACAGCTCAGACGAGTGACGATACTGATTACATTACAATCAGTATTATAGTATTTTATTATATGTATTATATACTGTATGTTTATATTTATTTTCATTCACAGTCAAGTTTACAGGTACAAGGAATATTATTACTAACACCAAATGTCGTCCGTATATAAGCCCTCCTGTATATAAGATACACCCCCACACCCCCCATGTATAAGCCCATCCATATCAAAAAATGCTTACGGACGAATATAAGCGGTGCCGTGGGTATGGGATTATATTCGGAAGTTTACGGTTATTTATCCGTATTCTTTTTGCATGTAAGAGTGCATGGCGATAAATATATATCAAATCTTCATCAGTGCTAATAATCTGAGCTAACAAATGGTGTTTTCCACAAACCAAAAGATAATTATATTCGAATAATTCGATATTCCATTTGTTTTCTTTCAGCTGCTACTAATATATAGGGCTGTTGCCGTGTTGGTAACAGGATGGCCCTGATTTACCGGTAACAGGATGGCCCTGATTTCACGTGCCCTGATTTACCTCTTGCAATATGCTGCTTTTGCTTTCAGTGTAGCGCCGTGCGGAAGTAAAAGACCCTGGCTTGCGAGGTTGGAATAAAACGCTGTCCAAACTATTAAACATCGTTGTGAAATATTCCAAAATATCGATGTCTACTACCAAGGTTTTCCTGTGTATGTTTTCCAGCAAATTCAGAGATCCCCTGTGTCCCGACTACGTTTCTAATGCAAAAACAGTGTTTTTTGGTTGGCTAATCTTCGTGAAACATGGCTAGGGAACATCTACCCATGCCCAGGGCCTACAACATGCATCCTGTTCGCAGGCATAAAATCGTAAAATTGAATGTAATTGAATTTGGTTTTGCTAAATTGTCGGAACTCTCCATACCACTAATTTAAGTGGTTAATATAATTATGTAATAAAATTTTAAGAGAGTAAAGTAATCTCTTCCTGCCAAGACATGCACTGTTTGACACAGAGGGAGATTATTTTAATTAAGTTATTCACGCTATTCTTCTTTTATCAAAAGGATTTAAATTGCTATTGCCAAATGGATTTAACGGATTTAAAAATTTAATGCAATAAAATAATTATATTCGGTAATTTTTTTACATCTGTCAAGGTTGAGTAGTTCACACACTCTATTTATTGGATTAACGAAATGTTTTTAATTCTTGTTAGACAAAAATTCGAAGAAGAAAAAGTAAAAAAAATCTAATTTTACACTTTATATAAACCTCTTAAGAAGAATTTTCTTCGCTTATTAAATAGTTTTGGCAAATATATTTGGTAATATTAAGGTATAAAGATTTGAGTTTTATAAGAATACGAAATTTCATTTCTCAGCCTTGAGTATATTCTGGGTATGTTGTCGTCGTGTATATAGTCTGTAAAAATTGAATAATCATACAAAATTAAAGGTTTTCAAATGCACGAGCCAGTTTTGCCACTTTGCTTTCATTGTTGCCTCGAACCCAGGACCATGGACTTGCTAGGCCGCTGCATTGCCGTAGGCATAAGCGTATCGCAATAGTATTAGTTGACTTGATTCTGTGAAAGAAACACACCAAAGCGTCAGAGGCAGTTGCTGCTCAATGTTTCTTCAATGAGATTTCAATTATATTGTTATTTTCAAATGAGCACTGTCGAAATAGAAAAAGTTTCTCTGTTTCTGCTAAATTTCTCATTGTGAATACTAGGCGTTGGAAAAACCATACAAGGCTATGCCCATGGGGATACCTGCGTACGTAACTACTGTGAACACGTAAACCACTCCAAGCATGATTTGATCAAAGTGTGTAACAGTATACCCTGGGTGCAGAGGTTTTCTGCTGTCAGACGAGTTTTAAGTCATGGCGGTTGGACGAGGCTACAGATAAGCTAAACTCCCTGATCCAGGATAGTGACAGTGTAAACCTTTTCCAAATATCAGTACAATTCACTGAATTCAGTCACTGCAAACATTTGAGTCACAGATTGACGTTTGCTGCACACTTAAGGCCCATTTACACGGTACGATTAGTTGTATACGATTCTTACTCTGGCGTATGTGATCGAATAAACACGCGTACAAACGTCACATTTCAAATTTCGCCATCAGCGAATGAGCAATAACGTGGCATTAGCACTCGTTTTCATTCGTCAGAATGACAATCGTATACAACTAATCGTATCGTGTAAATGGGCCTTTAGAATACCAGGACGACGCCATCCTGTTCTAGGTTTATGTGACTGTACTGTCATCTAAGTGTCACGTATATTTCTATTTTGTACCAGTTCTTTATGATCAGACAAGCCCTTCAAGACAAATCCTTCGACCGACTACACCAACAGTTTATTTAAAAATGGTCTCCTATATGCAACAACTTGTTAATTTTGTCTTACAATGCAATTCCTATTCCCAGTGGTCAAAATCCCACATTTTAACCCTTTTGGACCCTCTCTGTACCACAACCGGGTGAACTACCACTACTAACTAGACAAGACGTAGTATGAGCAAGACTTAAATTTGAAATTAATTGCTTTGCAAATTGATTGAGAAAATCTTTTGCATTCAAGATGTTAGCAAGTGATAACGTGTTCATTCACAGGGTTCAATAATAAGACTATAAGATCAAGGTCGCTTGATCACACCAGAATTTGTTCCTTAATCAGTTATATATGTGCGGGAGGCAATTTCCTGTTTGGATGGAATCAATTGTGGGTATTTTTAAAAAATGTAATTTGGCCAAGTATAGGAAATAGTGTATGCCCAGTACAGAGCAAACCACAGCATTTTACAGTATAGTATAGTATAGTATAGTATAGTACAGTACAGTATAGAGTAACAGACTAACAGTACAGTATACAGTAACAGTAATAGTAATAGTAACAGTAACAGTAACAGTAAGATATACCTATAAGTTCAGTAAGATATACCTATAAGTTTTACTAACTTAGTAACTTACCATTCCTGCTTAATTTGTCTGTAAATTCTGGAGACGCTGTAGATGGACTTTCCTTCTGCTCGGCGGAGCCAGTTTTTTGAATTACTGTTTCAGCTAACTTATTACGTGTGGTGGGGCTTTCATCTTTGAGACCTAGTATTCCTTCGATTGAATAAACTGGCACCTTGTGGATGACTGTTCTATCCTTGCTCATTCTTGATTCTTAAATTCAAAATATCCGGAAGCGACAGGGAAAATCAGCGAAGCTTATATAGTTGTCGACTTTCTTTTAAAAGGATCTATAACAAATCAGACATGAAAGTTGAGTATAGTGAAAGTAGCTAAAGCAAAATACAGAAAACTAAGTTCATTACACTTGTCAACAATAAATCCTTCGTAATTACGTTGATCTGATCAAACCGTAATCTTAGGGTTGTATAAATAACACATGGAGTGATAAAGATTCCACACAAAACATTTCGCCAAGTAACTCCTTCTGGTAAATTTTCATTGAACTGACTACTATAAAGGTCAGTTTTTCACTGTAAAACACGTTGATATACATAATATTTCTATATAAAAGTGAATAATACCTTTTAAATTTTCGAGTCTCAGTACTAAAATTTTTAGCCAAAATTTCGAAGCTCTGCTAAAGCCGAAAGAAAAGGCGTATTCCGTTTTGGTATTAATAGGTTTTCTAACCTTTTACCTAAATTCTTTCTAGAAATTCGACTTGTTTCTGCGAGCGTCAGATGTTTTGGTCTTGTTCAAACACATATGGCAATAATCGAGCTGTATTTAATCTTCAGCGAAGCTTTGCAGGCGTGAATGAATAAACAGTATGGCTAATAATCTCAAATTAAAGCCACATTCTACACAGGAGTGTAGATTATTCAACACTAGCTGATTACTGGACCTGCAGCTGTTTGACAAAACAAAGAAATGTCGGCAAGTGTTTGATATTGCAAAGCTAACTCATTTCAACGACTTGATTAGAGTAATTGATAATCATTTGTTTCGTTAATTATTTAATTAATTACGTTTATTTAAAGTAGAAGCCTACTTCGGCTCCCGACCAATCACAATGCATTATCAAATCCATAAACGAATCATTCGAGTATTTCGCTCTTATATTAACAAATCCGACCGCAAACGGATATTTAGTTTAAAAATTACGAAGCAAAAATATGTGTTGACAAGGAAATTGTTTTTTAAAACGCGAGGTGCGTCAGAAAGAATCTGAAGTAATTATCGAATGGATTTTTGACCTTTTTGGGTGAAACATTTGAATGTCTGCGCGAGTCAAATTATATTGCCTCATCAGAGAAACACTGACAACAATTAAGAACATTTCGTTCACAATTAAGAATATTTTGCTCGCAGACATAAACAGTGATTTGAAAACAATACCACAAGTATTGAATATGCATTGCAAATGTGCGGGCAAGGTAATCGAGAGCCAGCATACAGTGATAATATGCAGTTAATCAAATCAAGTCATCTTAAGTGCCATTGAATGCTAATCTCATTAATAAATAAGTAAGCTGCAGTTGGCAACATTTATTGGCAACCCCGATAATAAAACTAATGTTATCAGCTACTCTTGTTGATATTAAAGAGAAATTATCACACTTGTGTAAACTACTTGTTTTGTAAATGATTCACAGAAAATATAACTTAAATATTCCTCAGAATTTATTTTGGACTTTTCGACAATGAAAAGATGAGTTAGACAAAACATCACAGTGATTCTCTTTACTTCTCTTGCCGCACAGTATGCACAAGCTTGGAAATATTGCTTTCACAGCATATAAACACACTGACATACAGTGATATATTTCCTTGAATCATTTAAATGATTAAACATATTTGTCAAACGCAGTACACCACTGACTGGCCACAGTTATGCACGCTATGTGCAAAACAAGAATTAAAATCGATTGAAATATTGCGACTTTTCCTCGCAATTTTAGAAAGTCATAAGGTCATAATCCTATTAGTATATGTGAGAAAAGTAAGAATATCGAGCCTGAGCATGAAATTACATATTCTTATAAAAAAGAGTGTATCATTATGCATGCATGATAACAAAGATATATAGAGCTATATATATATATATATATAATCGAATATTTACCACGATATCATTTCATTAATTTTCAAATCATTATGTCTTCTCCATTGCTGTCAACAAAGATAAACTTCAACTAAATTCCATGAAAAAGGACTTAACAAAAGTTCAGAAACAGAGAGAGCAGAGTCTGCACTGGACGGGACATGGCATAGGACCTAGCTATACATGTTACTGTTGGAACGAGAATATATTTATTTATCCTTACTTTATTTACATATTGTTCTAAAGACCAAAACAAAATCTGTGGAATAATATATAATAGTATTATATAGGATCATATATATAATCCATGTAAAATATATGTTATCTTATTATCCTTCATCTATCTAGTGGAATTTTGTGTCCTATGACTTGGACTAAATATACATATACATATACATATACATACAAAGTCAAAGTCAGCGGACATTGAAGGCATTATTGAAACTCTTTCCGACTTGCCAAAACATATCAGTGGACAATAAAGTATCAAAATTGTATCAAGACTTGAAGTTGAGCAGCTATTTTTAGTGAAGAATTCTTCAGTATATGATATCTGTCACATCTGCCTATTGCATGTCAACAGTAAATTACAGTATGTTCCACGTTAACTGAACTCAAAAGTAGGGATCGACCTTCCTTTGAGTTTTAGGCATTCATATAAGCCGGTTTTCGATCAAAAACAAAGATCCAAAGACCCACTACCAAATGCCTTATGGCTATAAATAAAACTTAAATAAAGGTCAAGGAATTGTTGAACAAAACCTGAATATATAGAAATTAGAATCTAGTTGGAATGTATTAACTACCTATATGTTGAGAACGAAATTTGGAAACGTCACGTTTATAATACATCAATGTATTCATCCTAATTTCCAAGACAAGGAAAAAACAGAATTCAGCAGGATTCGACCAAAAAATGTAATACCTGGATCGAAACCTTAATAAATAAACATGATGTTTTCAACAAAAACAAGACAAACCTACAATCTACATGCATGCATGGCTACTTTCTTCGGATCAATAATATTACTATTTTTTCAGGATCAGGTGTTTCCATACAGCGTAGAAATTTTCAAGGAAAATTTCATATGTGTAACATGGCCTGTAGGCTATAGGAGAGAGCAAATAAACTTTATTTATCTCTCTCTGTGACCTTGACATGTTATTAAATACGCATTGACCAGTTTGAAGTAAACTCGTGATAAGTGGTCAAGATGATTACGATAACATAAGCTAAGTCGCCCAGATCGTGGCTAAGATAGAAATAAATTAATTTTCGATGAAAATCTCACTTGTCTTATCTATAATTTGATTTCAAAGTAAATAGCCTTCCAATTATTATGATTATTATACATATCACTAAACTGTACATTATATAAAGTCTGCCTCGTACCCAGATAAGGTACAAAAAATGTATGTACAATATGTTTCAGAATATGTATATCCTGTGAACTATAAGAACCTTCCTACATATGCCGTAATTATATATATCAGACTATCAGTTCTATAAATGTGGACTAATATCAATTCATCAGGTTCAGTCTATCTCGAGGCTATAATCAATAATTAATAACAACTGATAATAGAAAATTTAAATGAATGTATTGGCAATTCAAAAAGGAATTGTAGAACTAAGGTAATAAATATCTAGATATAATTACAAGGTAAACACATTCATTCATGCAATTTATTTTTTATTTAGGTTCAAATTAATTCAACACATACCTTACTTTTCGCTTGACAACTGTCAATACAATAGTTTGCCCAGTAACTGATTAGAATGTGTAAGACAATGTTAAAATTTTCGAAATTCTGTCACAGCAATTTTGGAAGGATAATTTAGGACCGCCCCTGACCCTGTACACTGATTATGTGCCAGACATGAATCATATCCAATTATGTAAGATTATTTTGAGTGCGAATTAAGACTGTGAATAATATGGCTTAATATGTGTTTAATCCTGTTTGCTGGAGTTTTTGTCGGATATACCTTTCTTTGAGGATTTAACTAATCATTCAATAAAGATTAATTCATTTTAATTTTCTTTCGTTCTATGTGGCCAATCAAGGGGATTATCTTTCATAACTGCAGTAACTTCCTTTCCTTGCTGTGGCAAAGCAGCATGATGCGTAGCTCTTATATCAAGCTAGATACGCCTTCAGCAAACAAGATCACCAAAGAGGTTCCCAAGAACACATTAGCAAGAATCAGCAGAACATTTATAACTATACAGAAAATATATTAACCATTATAGTATTAAACAAAATCCGTAACAAAAGATCCTCGCATATATCTTGTTGCATGAAATCACATGTATAAATTATTTTTCAAGATCCTTTCTTTTTAGTCCGCGTACGTATTTTGTCATATTTAATTTCATATATTTTTATCTGACGCATGTTATCACATTTATATATAATTTTTCTGCTATTGGTAAGCTATATACTCAACTGAAATTTATTAATCAGTCGAATTTATTTAATTATTGTTTAATGATTATGTCCGTAATGAATCATATACTACTGAGTCCGAGTTTAATTCGTCTTTCGGTTCAGGAAATGTCAGGGCTAAATATACCATAAAGAAAGAGAAGTATAACAAGTATTGGTTGGCTGTCAGTCTATTTTGTATAATCACAGTTGGGTGACAACCTATATATTGGAGGGTCGTGACTCGTGATGGGGAGATTTCATTCCGTTTTCTCAGCCAAAGTTTTGTCTCAATCCTAGTGACCCAGTCACTCGACGTGACCCAGTCACAAAGCCCATTCCCAGCAGGAATATTGCAGGTGCAAAATCACATTTGTACAATCGTCCGAATTATATTTTCTAAGCGAAAACACTAACAGGCACATCCCATTTTACCCTTTACAACTCCTCATACTACTATATATAGGAACAAATCAGTGGAGCAAAAACCTGTCGAGAATCCTACTATTTTCAAGATGTTTTCATTTTCAGATTTTTAAAGAAGAAAATAACTAGATATAGTATCTTAAAAACCACAGGTTGCCAGTAAAATTACACTTTTAGTTTCGGAAATTCACTGGAGGCTTTCTCTGCCGGCAGAAAAAGTAAATTTTCACCATTGTCTTTGATGTCATTCAAGAAGTACATCGATCATTACAAAAGCACTACAGTAAACTCACTATATTTTGAAAGTTAAACTATGATGTCTTTGATGATCAGAATGAGCTAGAATGTAGATACTTTGTTAAAAACGTGCCTGACTGCACATATCTAATTCAGCGGTTTATTGCCGTTTAGTCATTTGTAAACTTTATTAATACGTCAGATATTTCGTAAATCTATCACTGAAACCTGCGTTCTCACATATTATTATAGATTTTCATTTATTTTCGCTATATTGGCCAAAGTTTGCATTTTCATTGTTATTAAATATATCAATCTTCATTCTCTGACGCCCCGGCGGTCAAACGAGGACTGATGAAAATTGGCACTATCAGTCTGAGTCACGAATTGATACTTGTTAGGCTTGTTACAGTGGACTTTTCAAGCTCTATAGATGAACTGTTTGATGAGTGTTTTACATTGTTTTAACTGAAATAGAATACATGATCGTGTTGGGAAAGCATTAAAAGGGCAAGGTCGCCCAACTCTCTGATGTATTCCGCTCTCATTCTCGTTCGATTTGCGCTATATAGGGTGAAGCATAACTAATATATAAAGTCATGACCAGGTATAGTTTGAAATGAAAAGAGTATAAAGAGTTCTTCAGCAACCAGATGATTATCAGTTTGGTATTTTCAAATTGATAACTCAGTGCATGACCATTAATCAGTCATGCATA